TGATAGGTTGAAGAAAGGAAAGCTGTCCAAGATGAATCTAAACTGAGTTTGGTAGTTCCTTGGAGAGGTCAAGTTAAACGCAGATCCTAGCGATTGAGGGCCTGGAAAGATGGAATGTTGCACTATCCACTTTGAGCGGAAATCCCACAAGGTTAGCAATAGAACAAAGGGCGCTAGGTTCGAATGTTGGGTCTGTGAAAGCTAGATATGTTTGGGTCCGACTAGGATTGGTCCAGATTATTTTAACTCGTTTGCTTCTTGTTTCTTGGGGAATAAGTTTCGTAGCCCTAAGTTTATTCCTATATATACGCATCTCGTTTGCAGCTGTGGATTAGAGAAACCGAACCACGTTAAATTCTTGTGTGTCGTTTGTGTTCCATTCTCTCTTGATTCTCGTAGATACTTATGTGTCTTGTGTGCTTAACTCCCAGCAAGTGATATCGGAGTGAGGTTGTTTGACACGAGAACATAAATTGCGAGAAATTGTCACATGGGGTTTTCTCAGAGCGATCTCAAGGCACAGAACAGTTGAAGCTCATCGCTGGAGAAGATCGAAGAAGATCGGCCGGTGCTTTATTAGATCGCACACAGGTCTGAGTCGCTGAGGGAGAGTCGCTTTGATAGACCTTCCGCCACGGCCGGGTTGAGGAGTTGTCGCTGTCCTCAGTTAACGCCGCTGGTTCAAGGAGATCGACGCCGCTGCTGTTTAGTCGTGAGCCCTCGCCGTTGTTCAGATCGCAAGTCACCACCGCCACCGTCCAGGTCGCAAGCCGCCGTAGTCGATCCATCCAGGTGCTGTTGGGTTGCCGATCCAAAGAAAACAAAAAAAGGGGGGTTTGTTTTCTTTTTGTCAGGTGCGGAAGGATTAAAAAAGGAAATAAACGGGGGAAACGGGTAGTGGGCCTCAATATTGGTCGGCGCACCTTTTTTTCTTGCAATTTTTTGTTCAGTTTGGACTCAGGTATCTCGTCTTGTCGTTGGAGATGGCTGAAGATGGGAAGTTCCGAATTGAGAAGTTCGATGGTACAGATTTTAGTTTGTGGAGAATGCAAATTTAAGATTTGCTGGTTCAAAAAGATATGGATGTGATTTTGGGTGACAAGCCAGAAAAGATGTCGAATGTAGATTTGGCAGGTTTGGATCCTGCAGTATGCGTTTGTAGTGGGAGCTGGTAGGAACCATGTAACACCCTCCGACTCGTGAACCCGGTTCACCGCGACCCGACGAGCCGAATAGGTCACAGAGATGGTATTAAGGATAATTCGAATAAAAACTTTGATAAAAGAGTTTTAACTTAATGACCTTATTCGGGTTTAAACACAATCCTAGGGATTCATTCCCTAAAAAGTATAGAGTAGGTAAAACGTTAGAGTTACGGAAGCAAAAGAAACCAAAAGTCAACCCGAATGATTTAAGTGCGACAAGGGTGGGTTCAAGCCCAAAAATGATTTAAATGATAAATAAGGAAAACAAGAAATCCACGGTTGGATGTCCATACATCTCCTCACTCTCGTGCCCCTCCGGGATAGGCTCCTGGTTCATCAAGCCTACCTGCGTATAGCAAAAACAATACTATACGCTCAACATAAGCTGAGTGGTAACTCTAACAAAAGAATAAGTAGTGATAAACCATATAGGCACAAACATAACCATACATGTACTTAACGTACGCATAACACAAGATGGATTAATCAAATAGCCATATGATTTCATGATGCATGAGTTAGACTATGCAGGGATCCCCTGCGCTCCGATGTCATGCCATAACGGCGACGACTCGGGCAAACCTTAGTCTCTTGACGCGACTAGAACTAATGGGTGGTAACCGAAACTTAGTTAGCATGTACGTACACAAGCCCTCCGAATGAAACCCGTTGGCCTCGAAGGCTTCTGGACGGGCACGCTATAAGAGGCGCACTAGGCTTGACCCCTTTAGCGGTTATAAACTTCCCCCGTCCCAATTTAAATTGCACGTTTCAAACTACGATGTTTAATTGAAATTATTTTCAATTCAATTTATACGAAATTGAGTTGAAGTATTTAAAAATTACATCAAGAATTTTATAAAATAAAAAATGACATGACTATATTATTTATCAAATAAATAGTTAAAATGTAAAGAAAAATAAATAAAATTTTACAATGTGAATAATAAACATGTACTATAATTTGAGAAGAATGGTATTTATTTATCTTAGAGCTTTAATTTAAAACTATAATATGAAAAAGTAAACAAAAAAGAAATACATTATTATGTGAGTTTAAGTTTGATGTAATGGATTGAAGATAAAATACTATATTTTGACTTTGTACTGCATTTTAAGTCGATGTTATAGATTGGAATTGGTCTAATGAGATACTCCTTACTTTTGAATTATTTTTTGTCCCTTTCTACAGAATCTTATATTTAAGAAATGGGTTTGTCATTCATGTCGATAATACTCACACCATATCTCTAGGACATTTAAGAGTATGAGTCATAATTTCTATATTGAATATGAAAAAAATAGATGACTAATTCTATAGAAACGAAAATAAAAAAGTAAACTAAAAAAGGACAGTGGGAGTAAAACTTAAGTATCTTGATGAGTACAAAAAATTTACATTCTTTCAAGTCAATAGCACACACTATATCTCAAAGGATATTTTAGACTATTTATCATAATTTCTTTATTGAATATGAAAAATAGACAATTATTTCTTGACAAACAAAAAATAATAAAGTGGACAACTAAATTAGGACAGAGGGAGTAAAAGATAACGACAACCCAGTTGGATCGCACGAGAGTAGGTACTGGGAAGAATGTGTGTACACAGACTTTGCCACTACTCGAAAAGAGATGCTGTTTCCAAGAGACTCTCGGCTCATGCATAAAGCAGAAAAATCACAACTAGAACTGACATATAGCACTTAGCACCTAGAGTCAAAAAAAGCATACTCTCTCCGTCCCAAATTATAATGTCTGTCCACTATTCACATGGTCAAACTTCATTCACTTTCTTTTTCTATTTTCGTTAGCAATTTGAAAAAATAAAGTACTATTGTCACTACTAGTTTTGTAGATCTTTTGATGTAGTATTTTAATACTCCCTCCGTCCCAAAAAACCTTTCTCCTTTCTTTTTTCACCCATCCCAAAAAACACTTCTCATTTCTATTAAAAAATCACTTTTACCCCTTACTTTTTCATACCATACATATCACATCATACCTTTTTACTAATAATCTATCCATCAAATCATACTTTTACCCATCACATTAAAGGACATTTTTGGAAATTCAATACCAAAATACTCCCTTAAATCCCTCTTCAAAATCAAAACTCCCATGTTTTCCGGGACGGAGGGAGTATGTAATTTTTATTTTTTAACTATATACCATTTGTCATATAAAATGATTTGAAAATAATTTTAGTCAAACATTGTAAACCGAAACAGGCATTATAAAATGGAACGGAGAGATTATTAAAGTTAACAAAGGAGAAATACTGCAAGCCGATAGTAAATAACACCATGCAAATAAGGCATACGGAGCACACGACAAGAGCACCCCCCCCCCCCTCCCCCTAGCTCAAGGCACCTATTCAACAACTCTAATCCTAACTCTCCAAACGCTTCTATCTACGGTCATATCCTCTCTTTTGTAAGGGCAAGAAGTCCTAAATCCTGCCTAATCACCTCTTTCCAACTCTTCCTAGGTCTAACTTTTCCCTTACTTCCCCTACCAACGTAAGCCTCTCGCATCCCCACACCGGTGTGTCAACATTCCGCACATAGAGTAAAAGATAAATATCTTGATAAAAAGTACAAAGAAATGAAGGACATTAAAAAATAAGAAGCAGAAATGGAAGGCATATGGATGAACAATCATGGGAAATGAATGTACAGGACCAATGAAGTTGTGCATTACTCATTTCATGGTTTATTGTAAGGGAAACCTTTTTCCTTTTAAATCAGGAACAGCTACCCGAGGGGGAAACAAAGCCTGTGAGATGCTGAATAACTCTTCTTGAGACTTCACAGCTTCTCTTTAGGTAGTACCAGGCGATCTTGGCCTTCAACAAGCTTTGCACATACAATCACATCGCCACTCTTAATTTGAGAAAGAATTTCTCTTCCAACAGTAGTATATCTACATGCACATCCATGATATTTTCATTTCTTTACTCCGTATTTATTTTAAAAACCTATACACACACACACACACTATATATATATATATATATATATATATATATATATATATATATATATATATATAGATAGAATTTAGGGTGGGTATGGACAATTGGATTGGGCAATAAGACATTTGGGTTGAACCACATTAAAAGATTGAATCCAATCGATTAGTTAGTCCAACTCAAGAGCTTATATACCGGTTATTTTACTCTTGAACTTCCGATGTGGGATGCACTCTAACACTCCCCCTCAAGTGGACAACCGGGCCATTTTGAATCTCACCGGTTGACCACTTGCAAATGAACTCCCATTCCCTTGACTTTTTTTTTTTGAGCGCCAACACCTAAAGGACCACGAGCCGATGGGTATGGACTTCCAGACGAGCAATCGTGTTAAACAGGCCACAGGCCGTTGGGTACAACATCCATACGGACAACTGGGCTAAAGACTAACGGGCCGCTAGGAATGAACGTCTAGACGGACACCTTGACAAACGAGGTGGGCTAAAACTGGCTCCGATACCATGATAGAATTTAGGATGGGTATGGACAATTGGATTGGGCAATAAGACACTTGGGTTGAACCACATTAAAAGATTGAATCCAATCGATTAGTTAGTCCAACTCAAGAGCTTATATACCGGTTATTTTACTCTTGAACTTCCGATGTGGGATGCACTCTAACATATATATATATATATATATATATATATATATATATATATATATATATATAGAGAGAGAGAGAGAGAGAGAATGGTGCTATTCAGACTGTGCGAGTATCCTTGTGAGAATATAAGAATGGTGCATTTTCATACCGTAGATTCTAAAAGTTCAATTTATTAACCAAATTGCCACCGCGGTTTTTTCAATTTTTACCAAAGATCTAGAGGCTATTATTTACCAAAGTTCAATTTGTTTACCAAATTATCAAAGATCTAGAGGCTATTAAAAATAAAAAAATTCTAAAAAATTTGAAAAAAATCGCGGTGGCAATTTTGTAAATAAATTGAACTTTCTGAAAATGCACTACAAGTGTAAAATGCATCACGAAAATCTAAAAAAGCACCATTCTCATATATATATATATATACACACACACACACATATATATACAACAACAACAACAACCCAGTTAAATCCCACAAGAGTAGGGTCTGGGGAGGTTGTGTGTACGCAGATCTTGCCCCTACTTGAAAGTAGAGAGGCTGTTTCCAAAGAGACCCCCGGCTCAACGTCGAAAGTTGCATTGCTTGACTAACTGCTACTTCATTAATTAAAGAAGCGCAGACAGTTTAGAGATTCATTTTGATTTATTCCATCACACCCCAAAGCCAAAAAATGGTGAAATTTTGGCTCCATCGGAGATGATGGAAATATATATATATATATATATATATATATATATATATATATATATATATATATATATATATATATTGGCAGACCTGTACAAGTTATGAATGATTATTTAAATGAACTAGCTCTATGATCAGTGCAAATAGTGGCAGACCTGTATCGCTTTCATACTTGTGTTTGCAGGGATAGCTCTTCTCAAAGCCAACTCACCTGTTCTTGGAAGTTTGGCATCTGGAGAATAAAGTACAGCCTCAGCAGGTGAAGGGCCAAATGATTCCCAGCCAAAAAAAGGCATGGGACAAGCACCTTGAACACATATAATGCAAACAGCTATCGGCTCCAAGAATATTGACAAGCTGGGGATACTAGTAGTAATTTTTTTCTTGTCCCATCCTGCAAAACTGAATATTCATTTCAGTAGTAGCAATCATGTTTGCAGAGAGATATAGAGATTACACTACTCCTGGGAAGATCACCATGCCTTTTTGAAATAAGAGGCATTAAATTGTGGGGCATTTCTTGTTAAGGAACTAACTAAACCAGAAGATTCGATGTTTTAGATTTGTTTTTAACACAGTTAGTTTTTTAAATTTTGGCGACGGTGAGATTTGAACAACTGTAGATCATCAAGCTCTATATATCAAACTAAAAACTCAAGCTTTTGAAGGCCATGAAGTTTCATACTCTAATAATCAATGTAAATCAACAAATATTACTCCATATCTATGTAATGCTCGGGACCAGTCTAGAGAAACTAATAAGTGTCCAAGAAATTACATGATCGAACGTTTGGCAATGCAACTTGAGAAATTATTACTTGGATTTGTTGTTTTGGAAAAAACAAGCGCAAGCCCGTGGTGATCTGGGGTTGCTGAGGGTGTTCTACTGAGACGACTGAAGGGAGGAAAGCAACGACTGAACAGAAGGGCGCGTTTACGGCGAAGAGGGGGCGGTAAGGAGAGTGTGAGAGCCGCCGCCGCCGCCTTGTAACAGAGTAATGGATGCGCCATGAAGTTCGAAGGAGAGTCGTTGAGCCGCTTGTTGTGCGCCTTCCACCTACCAAATTCTATCCATCTGCTTGCACATCCTGACTGAACCAAAGCCAAACGGAAATTCCTAAAATTTATAGCACTATTCCAACTTCAGGTGAATTTATATTTATTTGTGTTTTTTCATGACCTATATGATAAAATAAAATATTCTTGTCACCACTTATTTTGTTGAACTTTTGATGTACTTTTTAAATATGTATGTTTTATTTTTTATTTCTATACAAATATTTAAATAAAATAGATTGAAAAAACTTGGGATTTTTCTTCGTTTTGCGCAACGGGAAGAAAGTTTTAGGACGAAGGGAGTACTTACCAAAACAGAAACAGAAAGTTTGTTCCAGTATTTGGTTTTTCATTTTTAAAACTTTGATTTTCAGTTAGATTTTAGAAAATACAGTCGGTAATTCAGTTTTTACCGAATAATGAATTAGGGGCTGTTTGGCAACTTCTGAATAGGTTAGTGTTGAACCAGTAAGAGGTCTGAACCATTAATTGTTGAACCAGTAAGAGGTCTGAACCATTAAGAGCTAGTATATTGCTTAACTATTTAAAGGCAAATGTCTGATCAATTCAGATAAGAGGTCTTAACCATTCAGACTCTGTATAATACTTAACCATTTAGAGGCAAATGTCTGAGCCATTCAGACATCTGAACCATTAAGAGGCTGAAACAAACAGTCTGAACCATTAAGAGGCTGAAACAAACAGTCCCTTAGTATTACATAAGTAACTTAATTCTAGAGGTGGCAATCGGGTTAACCGGATCGGTTTCGGGTTGAATTTTTTCTGTTCGGATATCTTTCGGTTATATGCTATAATCGGTTTGTTTCGGATCGGATCGGTTAAATTTCGGTTTGGATTTGATTCTATTCTATACATTTTTCGGTTCGGTTCAGATACGGTTCAGTTATAAATCGGTTCGGATAGATTTCGGTTTGGATACAATTTGAGTCGGATATATTTCGGTTTCGGGTCTAAATCCGTTTGGATATATTTCGGTTTCGGATCAAATATATTTTGGATATATATTATTTTCTAATTAAAATTTAACTATCCATGTTTCTTTTTATGTTTTATCACATTTATCAATCTATCATCAATTCAATACCTCATAATGTTTTACTATATTTTTTTCTAATTATATTATCTCTACCCTAAATAATCTTCCCTTTTTGATTTTTTAGTCATATTTTACAAATTTGGACTACAAATTATGAAGACATATATATTTAATTATGATATAAATTTAATATAATTAAATTGATTCTAAAATTTAGTTTTGAAATATCAAATTTTTCTCACATCTACTAATATACTTATGTTTATAAATGAAAAGATAAATTTAAATAGTGTTATGTTCCATTTGAATACAATTTGGTAAAAATTGAGTAAAATTGGGTGAAATTAAGTAAATTTTATTCAATTGAGAGCAAAATTTATAAATTATTGAGTGTATTTGGTTGAAAATAGATAAAATTAAATTTAATAGAGTCAAATATAATTAATTTTACACCTAAACGTAATGGTTTAGATCAAATTTAAAAATGATAAAACTAAATACTACCGCTAGAGAGTCTTTAAAAATGTTAACACTAGCATCTAATTTTATTGCCTAATATTGAGTGAATTGGTTTGAAACTAATCAAATTAACTCTCAAATCAATAAAATTTATTGTAATGCGATGAAATTAGGATAAAATCTATTTATTCGATATAATTCATCATATAATCCTTTCGTCCCAAAAAGAATATCACACTTCACTATTTAAATTACGAAAATTTTATTTGTTTGTGCGTTATCATTTATGTGTATAATTTATTTTTAGTTTCTACATATAATAAATTTAAGGCATGAAATTTTATACTTTTTTTCAAGAAGATAATCCATTTTATTAAGGAATGAGCAAGTAATGTAATTAGTTCAAATCGTAAAATAAAAGTAAAAATTTAAAAATATGATATGTTTATAGAAAGGCAAACATATTTCCGAATTATCGATTGATTTTAGTTCTAGTCGGGTTCGGATATTATCAGTTTCAGATCTAATCGGTTTCGAGTTTTATCGGTTTCGGGTATTATCGATTTCGGATCTAATCGGTTTCGGGTTTAATCGGTTTCGGATCTAATCGGTTTCGGATTTAAATCGGATATGAATTATTTAGTTCAGTTTCGGTTCGATTCGGATCATTTCGGGTTTTCGGTTATAGATCAGATCTTCATTTTTTGGGTCATTTTGGTTTCAGTTTCGGATATTTCGATTCGGGTAATCGGTTTCGGTTCTGTTTTGCCAGGTCTACTTAATTCTATGAAGTCCAATCTGAACATTTTAGAGCGTGTTTTTTAGAACCGGAAAAAAAGAACTAGATGTTGGAAGAAATTGGAAAAAAATGGAAGTAACCAGAAGAAACTAGAAGGACTGGAAGAAACTGAGCCTCCCATGAATGCATGGGACTCAGGCGAAATGTACTAGTATGAGCTGAATGTGGGACCCTCATGATGATGAGATAAGGAAATTGAGAGAAGAGCTTGATGAGATGATATCATCTCAAGCGAGTGAATTGCTAACGATTAAAGAGGAGATGACTCGACTCTATGGAGGATCTCACCAAGAAATGGAGATGGTGATGGAGGCTCGGGGGGAACGGGCATTGCAGGGGCTTGAGACTTTTCTAGAACAAAGTATTTGTTATTTCACTTGACTTTATTAGCTACGTACAATGTTTTTCGATCTGGAATTGCATCTGCTAAAACATTTATTTTTCTTATGATTGTTGAATTTGGTCTAGTTGTGATTGGTTATTAATAATAACATTGTCATTGTGAGGATTTGGTGTAGTTGTGATTGCTTGAATTTTTCCTATTTGTCTGTTGCTTGATTTCATTAAAAAAAAAGTTGAATCATTGTAGAATCTGTCAATTTAGTGATGGAAAGGGCGATAGAATCATATTCCGTCGCCATGTGGTCAGAAATCTCAAGTTGGTTGCCTACACCAATTGTGTCTGCATTTTCTGTTGCGAGTTTTGTCGCCCATAACGATGAACTACAGAATTTTGTTGTCATCTTCAATACTAAAAAAAATATAACGACGGATTGATACTGTCACCAACTCCGTCGTCCCACTCAATTTTCTATGGCAATTAATGAGTGGCGACATAATTTTTCTGTCGTCATCCAACTTGTTTTTTGTAGTGTTATGAACGTTCGCACAAAGAGTTTTCTACAGTTCTATGGTCAATTTTAACGTTTTATCCATACGTCCGAATCTTTAAGGTTTTGGACTCCGTTCATGAAAATGTGAAGGATTTTCATAAACAATAATGTCCAAAATAAAAAATTTCTAAGGCTAGGGGATCTGCCCCTTAGACCCCACCAGGGGTTGCCGCCCCTTGGACCCTACTCCCAGGGTCTATTGCCCCCATACCCCCACTAAGAATTTGTAATATCGTTGAATAGTTGTGCACTCCGCACCTCCTAACTCGTTTGACAACGTATATTCAAATTCTTGTCTCATTTAAGTAAACCTAATCACTTAAAATATCCGATGATAGTAAAATCACCAACATCCGTCACACGCCTTTGACATTAAAACGCTTAGGATGTAATGTTTCACTCCACTTGCTTCAAACCTCTGCCCACATCAATGTTGATTGTACTTATTCTTTCAGTAATTATTATAATAGGTGTGACCGTGTGACCGATGATATCCCGGGAACCACATCGACTATCACCAGCCAATTGAAGAAAGGGAGAAAGGAGAGGGAAGATGGGGTGTGGGTAGAGATCTAGCCGAAGGAGATAGACATGGGAGAAAACAAATCGATACATATTAATAAACAAAAAATTGTACTATTGATATTAATTTGAAAATTGGGAGAGTATTAAAAAATAATAATATGTCTGAGTAATAAAATATATGTATAAATATTATTTGAAAAATAGTGTGGCATAGAAATAAATAAAAAGAATTAAAATTCAAATAAATAAAATTAATGATGTATAAATTTATTTTGATAAAATATAAAATTTCAAAAATATAACCATATATTCAACCAATTTTTATTTTTTTTCTAATATTTCTTAATTCTTTTTAGTTTCTTCCAACCCCTTAGAGTGTTCCTTTTGTGGTTTCTCTAGTTTTTCTCAAACTTCCTCCAGCTTTTTCGACAATCAACTCTGTTTCTGCAATCCTATAAAAAAGAGAAATAGATGTGTTAGGACAGTGCAATATAGAAGTACTACTTGATATTTTATGCTAGTATTTCATACTCTGTATTATTTTTTGACATTATATATTAACAACTTTCTCCATTTCCTATTTCAGTATAATAACATTTTTTGGGAAGACTAAATTACACCGTTGGTCCTTCAAGTTATTGCGTTATACATGGTTAGTCATTGAACTTTTAAATTTTCATGAATAGTCCTTCAAGTCATGTCAATGTTGCATGATTAGTCTTTTCAACTTTAAAAATTTTACGAGTTGTTCTTTTGAGAATATACAACCTGTTTAGTATTTGTCCACTTATATTACCTTAACATCTTAAGCGCAAGTATAAGGTTCAAATAGTGATGAGGAGAAACTTTGAGTAATCTTCTTGTCACCACATGGAACAGAAATAGTTTTTCAAAGGCAAAATAGCTCCGGTGCTCCATGTATTTTGGAAAATTGATACCAATATCCCCTCCGTTTTCTAAACTTATTTTTATAGTTCTTTTGGTTTCAAAATGTTGCACCCTCACCTCATCCGATCATTTTTCAACAAAGAGGGGGCATTGATGCCTATTTTCAAAACCATACGGGGCACACACACTCATTTCTTATTTTTCGTTTATTACTTTGTTTTTTTCCTTTTCTAACTTTTTAATCACTTTGTTTCCTTTTCCTAGATTTTTTTATTTATTTTAAATATTTAATAATGTTTTTAAAAATTCAAAATTCTTTGTGTTTGAAATAAAAATTAGAAAAATTAAAATATACTTCATCTATCTCAAATTTAAATATTTTAACTTTTGTTTTCTATAATATTTTTGGTAAGTTCAGAAAGTAAAATCAAAAATAAAAAATAAAAACATGGAAAACCGAAATGAAAAGATTGAAACATCTAAAAAAGAGTCTTATACAAAAACAAATTTTCAAAACGCCTAAAAAAGTCCTTAGAACTGGAAAGTCCAATTACAAAATTCATTTTTATTTTTTTGTTTTATTTTACATCTTATTTTATTCCTCATTTTTTGAAGTTCTCAAAAGAATTTTTAATTTTTTATTTTTGAAAACAAAAAATAAAAATTGTTAATTTAAGACTGTAGTATATAATATATGTTAATTTTTTTTAAAAAAAAATAATTTTAAATTTTAAGAACATTACAAAAAAAAATAAAAAAAAAATTGAAAAAAACATTGGTTAATAAAAGAAACAAAAAAGGGAAAAAAATAAATGAAAAATAAAAAACAAGACCAGTGCCCCATATGGTTTGGAAAATAGGCACCTTTTTTTTCGTCGGAAAAATGGCCAAAAAATGATCAAAAGGAGTATGAGTATGACATTTTAAAACTACGAGAACTTTAGAAATAAGTTTTCAAAAACATAGTGGCATTGATAACTACTCCGGAGTATTTTTTAAATCAAGAAGGGTACTAGTGTTATTTCGCCTTAAAAAAATTTGGGATATGATTTTATACTACGTAAAACGTGTGTATTTGCAATCAATACGACAGTTACCTTTTTTGAGGGGCTCCATATTCCTCTGTAATTCATTACAAAACCATTCATTCGTTAGAGATTGAAGGCTAAACATAGCGAGAGAGAAAGAACCAAAAAAAAATGTCAAAGGTAACAAGCTTCTGCACCCTCGTCTTCTTCCTCCTACTGCTGGCGGCGTCGCACGGTGTCTCGCGGCGAGTCCGGACCTATTCCGACATCACTCCCATGGAGACTAATCATGGCGTAAGTCCAAATTCAGATCTTTCATCATCCATTATCTCAATCATTGAAAAATATACTTGATCCGTTCCGATTATTGTGTTTATCTAATTGAACATTTCAAGGCCTCTTAAACAAACATTTGATCATTTTTATTTAATAGAATTTAATTTCATAAATGATTTTTCGTAACGGGTGATTTTCTGTACGAGTTGTGCTTCAGTGATCCTAAGGTCTACATGTGAAATTTAATTTTTTCTCACTTTTCATGTGTCGATGCGTAGATCATTTCTTATTTGCAAAAAATCTCATTCTTTTTTATAGTGTTAGTCCCAAAATGATTTTTGTTACTATTCACATGGTTAAACTTTAATCACTTTCTTTACCTATTTCCATTAGTTATTTGATAAAATAATTTAGTCATGTCACATCTTGTTTTGTAAAACTTTTGATCTTTTTTAAATATATAATTTTTAGTTTTAAATTTTACACTTATGATCAAATAAATTGAATTGAAAATAATTTCAGTCAAATCTCGTAAACCGAACTGAGAAGATCATTTTAGGACGTCGAGAGTATTAAGATCCATAAAACAAGTGTAGACCCAAGAATGACATAAAAAAATTTCTTTCCATATATAGTCTCAATTTTAAAATATTATGTTCATGGTCCTCAATATTTGAGAATTATTCTAGAATCAATCCTTCGAGCCAAGTAATGTTTTCTACATGTAGTCTATTACAATAATATACTCTGTAATTACTAATGAATTGATGATAGGGTATTAAAGGTTTAATTTGTGCATTGATAAGCATGAAACTATGATGTTGCAACTATTTTTAGGTCCTATTCTTTTGAGAAAAAATTAACTATTAACCTTTTATTAACTCTTTACAATTTTTTCTAACTCTTTCCAGTTTCTTTCATCTCCTTCCCGTTTTGGGTGATCATTTAATTGAATGACTTTCTAACACTTTAATTCTTCAAACATTTTCTAACTCTTTCCAGTTTCTTTCATCTCCTTCCCGTTTTTTCTAACACCCAATTTTAAAATTTTAACTCAAAAGAGGATGATCTTTGAGGAGAAAAAGTAAAAAAACATGATATAGTTAGTACCTTATATATGAAAGCCTTTTGCAAGACAATCTTATAAATTGCGAGTATTTTCTTATTACCCGGCAATGTCATTATGGTTGAATTTCACAATATGTGTCCCGAACAAAAACTAAAAACATAAATAATACTCACTCCGTTCATCTAAAATCTTCTCATTACGCATTACAAAGCTTGACCGAGTTTATTTTCAATTCAATTCATTTTAATTATAGGGGTCAAATTTAAAAATAAAATTTATATAGTAAACAATTAAATGAGAATTTTTACAAAACTAGAGGTGTCAAGGCTATATTATTTTATGAAATGAGTAGTAAAAATAAGCAAAGAAAGTGAGTTAAGTTTGACAATGTGGAGTGTCCGGAAAGATCTATGGCATCGAGAAGGAGTACATTATGACATGAATATACAAAATGTGGTTGTTTTTATTCTTCCTTGTAATGTTTTTTGCTTGGCATTTAATGAATTTCTAAATTATTATAGGATGACAAAAAGAAAGTTGAAGGCAATTGTAAAGGGGAAGGAGAAGAAGAATGTTTGATGAGAAGAACATTGGAGGCTCACCTTGATTATATCTACACACAAAAGGAAAAGCAGCCATGATCAGATTTACATATTCTGCTGTTGGTTGGATGAAATAATTAAATTACTATGGTTTAAAACCTCAGGTATTAATTATTATATCTGATTTTTTGTTAATGATCGAACATGATTATTTGCTTTTTGGTTCATGTATATAATTACCCAAGCAATTTGAGATATTGCTAGTTTGTGGTTGGATTTAGAGATTGGATCGAAATAATATTGGTATTACTGTACACAAATCTTACATGTTTGAGGAATTGAGGTGGTGCCAATTACGGGAGTATTTTAGGATAGCAAGACTTCTATTGCTATTGTAGGCGTAAATTTACACTCCATCCGTTTCTAAATAAACTTCCATTTTTGACTTTTTGAGGATTTAAGGGATGGATATTTTTGTGTTGACTTTCCAAAAATACCCTTGATATGATGTGTGAAAGTAAGATGTGATAGGTAGATTATTAGTAAAAAGGTATGATGTGAGAGGTAGGGTATGAAAAAGTAAGGGGTAAAAATGGTTTTTTAAGAGAAAAGAGAAGTTTGTTTGGGGACAAAGAGAAAACGAAAGAGGAAGTTTATTTAGGGACGGATGGAGTATAAGTATTCAAAGCATGGAGGCAAAGTCCCATTTGATGTGCATTTATTGAATTGGTCTATTACATTAATAGAAGTTGACTCATATTGGAACTAAATAACATAGGACCTAACTTCAACGTGGACACACTTTGACATGTAAGTGGGAACTTAGACCAGCCGGCTGAAATAAGGAAAAAAGAGGACACGATAACACAATTAGAAACAGATCCGGACCCGATTAACCGATACCTAGACCTGGCAAAACAGATTCGGACTCGATAACCTGAACTGAATAACCCGGAACTGAATCCGAAATGACCTGAAAATTGAAGAACCGAATTAAACCCAAACACTCGAAATGAATTGAATTGAAACCGAAATGAATGTATTCAAACCTAATTCAGATCCGGATCTGATTAAACCCGAATCGGTTAAACTCGAATCGATTAAACTCAGGACCGATTAGACCCGAAACTGATTAGACCTGAAATCGATTACACCTAAAACCGATTCCAATTAGACCTAATATTGATCAAGTTCAAAACAAATTAAACTCAAATCCAGGCATATCTAATAGCTCATTCGTTGATGTCTTTCTAAGAACATCATATTTGAATTATAGGTAAAAATGATTTAGGCTCTATTCCGTTCAACTTATTTTTTCTGATCTGATTTGATTTTTTGTAGTTCTGATCTGATCTGACTTGATTGGATCTGATCTGGTGTGAACTGATTTGATTTGATTTGATTGGATCTGATCTGATTAATTATGATTTGATTTAAAATTCAAATCAATAATTTGATCTGACTTTATACTAATTTTGAAAATTGTAATGATAATTCATATTATAATATAATCAATATTTTTTATTTTATGATTATTTTTTAAACAAATAAGATCAATTGATTCATATATTAAAATAATCATTCATATTGTAATGTAATAATATTTTTTATTTTATGATTATTTTTTTATGTAATAAGAATATTGTTTTAATATTTTAATGATTAGTTCGTATATACATTGGAATAAATTTTTAATTCATATATACATTAAAAATTAATTAAATTTAGATAATCAATATAGAAAAGAGATGGTATTTTTATTAAAATATCTCATTCTTATAAAATATCTATGTTAAGAAAAGAAATAATACATTTTTCTGCATCTTGTATAATAATATATTACATGCTAGATGTGCTTGTCAAAAAAACGTCGTATGCTATAAATAATACATTGCATAAAATGTTACACACCCATATTCTCTTTAATCCCACTCATTGAATTCCAAATTTATTTTTTGAAAGAATCGTATCAAGTGAAACAAGTAAAAAGTATGAAATTTAAAATAATAATAATAATAATTCTTGATTGGATCTGATCTAATCTTATTGGATCTCATCTGATCTGATTAGATCTGATCTAGAATGGTCTGATATGATTTTAATAAGAATAAGAAAAAAGCAAAAAAATAAGTTAAACGGAACGGGGCCTTAATGTATAAATCTTTTACCCCATATTTTATTACTTGAACTAAGGTTGTTGTCTATTTTTATGCAGAGTTTATTTAATTTATAGTGAACTCGTAACTCACATTGATGGATATATTAGCTCATTATTACGAACACTTGTATATATGCTCCCTTTACACATAGGAAGGAGAGGCTACACACAAAGTTAACATTAGAAACTCTAATACCAAGAGATCATTCTGAAACCATTACAAACCCGAATCGATATAAACCTGAACTGGTATAAACCCGAACGGGTATAAACCAAACCGATGTAAACCCGAATCGCTATGAACCCAAATTAGAATCAAACCAAAATCAGAAAAAAAAATTCAAATTGAAAACAGCGGATCGGGTTGCTACTAGATTGGCATTCAGACACAATAATTTTCAAAACAATTTAAAAACATTTAATTCAAAACAATATTTAAATATCCATCGGAGTTCACAAAACGGTGCGGAAGCCTTTAAGTATTTAATCAAAATACAACTTTGGGTTCTTGCCCTTAAAAACATAAATAATTCAAACTTAACTATTAAGCAGATAACTCCTCCAGCCAGCATCCATCCATCTCTCTGCCCTCGCTGCCCTCCAGGATAGTTCCTTATTCATCATTCATGTTACCTACGTGTAGCAAATAGGAAAAAGGCTACACGCTCAGCATCGAAGCTGAGTGGAATCTATCTAACGTTCGACTACGCACATAGACGAACCCACTAGCTCATAACTCCATACAATATCATGCACACAAGTATACAATATAATAGAACATAACAGTCACCAAATAAATTCACAAGTCACAAATCATTACCTTATTTCCTCTGTATTCATAGCTCATAACACAATTACCAGACTAAGTCCATACTTCTATATTTACAACCTGATGTTCGGACTTAGAGTCACAACCTACGGCCATGACTCAAGTCTACTTTATTTAATACCTTATGACACAACACAACTTGATGACCAACGAAGGAGTTCTCCGCTGGGTGGGTGGTACCCCTGTCCCCTTCGGAACGACAGTTCTTGGATCCCATACGTACGTTTTAACCCGCAGCCGTCGGATATCAGATCCGCAGGGCTGATCCTATCTATTGACATTTATACTTACAATTGTGCTAAAGCAGTCCTAGAGCTCCTCTAGGTAACTTAGCCATTTACTTACAACATCTCTACCATTCAGACTTATTCCAACATAAATCTCTATTTCTTATTTACTTCCAAATTACAACATGATTACATTTAATTAACACAAGAGGGGTAACAATGATCAGATAACCAATCATATAACTCAACTCGCGGCCTAGTGGCGGGTGTAACCACCTTCCACTTACCGTCATGCAAATCACACAATTTAGAGTAAGAATACATACCTGGTCATCCTCGTTCAATCAATTCCAATATTATCATAAGATATAAATAAATCACAATTCAATTATAAACAAATAAACCACGTAATCAATCATACGAAACTACGAACGTGAATTTCAAATCTATATACATAATCTAGCGTTAGATGTGCAAGTTCTGA